CTTATATTATTTCCATGTTTCATAAATAAGTTTCATTTGCACTAGATGGCAAGGCTGGTATAATATTAACAATATATATCACCACTGTATTAAATAGGGGATTATGGTAAGTTTGACACTTTATTTCTGATAGATAGTACTGATACTAGCATATTCAGCTCATATATATATATTCATGTACAGAAAAAAGTGCCTGAAGACCATATTGTGTCTCATGCATTATGTTGTGGGGGGGACAGCCTTTTAGAAACAATGCATCAAAAAGATTGGAAAAAAAATTCCTAATATGATAAATAATTTTTAACTTAAAAAATAAAGTAAATTATTGAAACTCATATGCATTAGGAATAATTAATGCAAGAAAATTTTTTTATATTTTTGTACGAGCTATTTTTGTTTTTCTAGTGTACTGTTTCAGTGCATAACCTCTGAAACATATTACCTGCTTCAGTCTGAATATTTCTAGATTTCTGACATGATAGATACTCCTTTTTGTAGATTCATTGTAGGGTGGGTACTCAAAGTGACCTAGAAAAGAGAGAGAGAACGTTTCTTTACTCAAACGTAATTTATGTGCCGTAGCCTAGAAAGGATGTATTCGTATCTTCTAAATCAGTGTTTCCACAATTGCTCCCCAGAAAATACAGTAACACTAAATCCATATCACTCTTCCTATATTTATGGTAGGCCTAATACAGTAACATTAAATCCATAACACTCTTCCTATATTTATGGTAGGCCTAATACAGTAACATTAAATCTATATCACTATTTTTACACATAGCTATGTGTCACTGCTTTTTGTGAACATCACAGCTTTTTTTTAAGCTGTATGTGTACATATTAATTTCAAAAGTAATAATTAACAACTAATGGTAACCATTACTTCATGGTAGTAACTATAAGTTCATTGTATATTATAGCATTATGTTCAAACATGCTTGCCCTTTCAGTTGTGGGGGCATTATAAAGTTATGGTCAATCCCACTATTTGTTGGTCAAAAAGTAGTGCAAGAGTTGGCGGTGGGTGGTGATGACTAGCTGCCTTCCCTCTAGTCTTACACTACTAAATTAGGGATGGCTAGCGCAGATAGCCCTCATGTAGCTTTGCGCGAAATTCGAAACAAACAAACAAACAATTGTATTTATTTCATTATATGCTATTTTTAAACTTATCATGTAGAGCAGTGGTTTTTAACCTTGTTCAGTTCAAGTACCCTTTTTGAAAGTTTTGAGTATATCACATACTTTTTTAACTATTTCATTTTTAATTATTTTCACATACCCTATAAAAATAGACTGAATTCAAGGCCTAACTATATATATAGAAAGAGTAATATGGATTTAATGTTACTGTATTAAGCCTAGCTATATATAGAAAGTGATATGTATTTAGTGTTACTGTATTAGGTCTAGCTATATATAGAAAGTGATATGGATTTAGTGTTACTGTATTAGGCCTAGCTATATATAGGAAGAGTAA